CCGGAGGCAAGGGGGACCTTTAACCTCCCACTCCAGTGATAAAACGCATGAAATCGGTATTTAACGTATCTGGATTTTGGGTTTAACTACATTAATTGCACGTTAAATAATAAAACCTCCACTCTTCAATTTGGCCAGTTGGAAGTTTTTAGATGAAGTGCACCATAGTACTACGTAGTAGTTCTTAATAATACAGTAGTAACTTTGTCTACAGTAGATTAGATATTTTAAACAATGGAAATGAATATTTTCAGAAAATTATTGTGATATTCGCTATAAACTTCCAAAATTAGTGTGGTTTGGCGAATCAATATTGCATCACGCCGGCGTTCTGATTGGTTGAATATACTTGTCCTTTCTGCAAGAGCCAATCAAATTCACTGAAAAATAGATTAGCCAATAGCGTCGATTCGTGATTGATTCGGCGGCGAGATTATTCGATCTGGAAATTCGTATCGAATATACCACAATATTTGTTGTGACCAACATTATTATTATTGTATTCTTTCCGTCTTTTGTTTGCAACACATCCGGGCGATTTGACATTTGAAATGCGCGGGGTGGCGGCGGTCAACGCCATCGCGGGTGTGCGACGACGACGTCAGATCCTCGTCTTAGGGAATGGCGCGGCTGGTGCTGAAAAGCAAGCGCTTGCTTTGGCATCCAAGCTGCAGTTGTTCCTTCCGTCCCACGAGAACGTGTCCGTGGCCATGTGCCGAGTTCCGTACGCCACTCGTCTGCATGCGTCGTTGCCTCCGATTGCGCACGTCTTTCTTGCACGTTGCAGCCTCGATCCATGGATAGGTTACGCGTCGTTCATTCCGACGTCGCCTCCCGACGTCGTGATCGGCTGTGGACGCTCCACCGTTGCGCTGTGTGCCGGGTTCAAGCAAGCATTTCCAAGCGTGTTCAACATCCAAATCCAACACCCTCGGTATGCCCGTCGCATCTCGTCTCGAATCACCCCCTTCATACATCGTCTTCTTCCGTAGGGTGAATCTGCGCTACTTTGACGCGGTCGTCGCGCCTTTCCACGACTTTCCGTCCACGATGTCCCAGCATGGTCGACCACCTCCGTCGAATGTTCACCTCACTCCCGGTACCGTGTGCGACATCTCCCGTGCGTCCTTGGCGTCCGCACGACAAGCCTGGCTCGATGACCCCTCTTCTTGGGCCCACCTTCCGTCCCCCAAGATTGCGGTGCTGGTGGGCGGGTCATGTCGCGGGTACTCGTTCACACTGGGTATGCCCATCACCCCCACCCTCTTCTCCATGACATGTGTACTTGTCTTCTTCGTACAAACTCTCGTTCTGGACAGATCGCGCGGCCGCCCTAGTCGCGCACCTGTCACGGCATGCTGCGACGGCGACGTTTCTCATCACATTCTCCAGACGAACACCCCCACCTGTCCGCCGTCCAACATATCAAGCATGTAGTAACGAACGATCCTGTCTAGGTCATGCGATTCCTTCAACGAGCATTCGCTTTGTTTCCGTCAGTGTACATATGGGACAACCAGAGCCCAAACCCGTTCATGGGCTTCCTCGCGCACGCCGCGGCCATCGTCGCGACCCCCGACTCCATCTCCATGGTCACAGAAGCCATCGCGTCCGGCATGCCCACGTTTGTGTGCGACTCGCACTTGACCACGGTACATATGTACAGTGTACCGTACACTACAAAGTGTACTCTGTTTATGCCTCGTCTTGAGCGTTGGTTTGGTGGCCCTGTTACTCTCGGTAGTAATGTCATCTAACGATCGTACTTTGTGATGGCCTTAGGGCAAATTTGAGAGATTTCATCGCCAAGTGTCGCCCTGGGTGGCGGACGTGGCCTCGCTCGACGTTTCCAGCAGCAGCAGCCTACAGAAGGACCCACGACCCACCAGTCAGACAGACCCTTCATGCCCGCTCGTTCCATCGCCCGAGCAACTCGCCATGGACCACGGCGTGGTCGACGCTGTGGGCGGGGCGGTGGCGGCGTTCTGGGACCAACACCCTCAAGACACAAAAGACATGCATTCCCAATAAAAACAAAAAACAAATCAAGCACAATGCATGCTACGGAAGTGCGCCGCGTCGACGTGGTGGACGTTGTCGTCCTTCATCTGACGCAGGTGCGTCATCACGTCCGCCGGCCGCGACCCTCGGGGGGCATGCTACAAACATTCATTTGCCGATGTATGTCCAGAGTGTGTGTGTACTACTAGTAGTAGTTACTAGTAGTAGTTAGTACCTTGGCAACCATCGATTCGTTGATGCGCATGAACGGGTTGGTTGCCAATTCGTCGGCCAGCGTGGACGGCACCGTGGGCAGCCCCTTCGCCCTCCTGGCTACCGCCCACGCGATCTGCGATGCAGTACTAGTATTACTACTAGTATTACTACACGTAGTAGAAGTACCTTGGTTTGCACAGCCACGTTGTCTGGTTCGACAAACAATGCAAAGCTCAGGTTCTGGAGGGTGTACTCGTGGCCACAAAACACGCGCGTGGTCGGGGGCAGCGCCCCCAGCACCTGGCTCAGGTTGCGATGCATCTACACGAAAACGTCACGTCCATCTCTCTCCCGAATTTCACCATGATAACGTCATATGAGTTGTCGTGTAGTATCGATCGTACTTGGTCTCCGTTGCCTTCAAAGAATCGTCCGGTGCCAGCCACAAACACTACAACCCCATACAAAACCACCTTGCATGATCACTCTCGATGTATCTTTAATGTCGTATTGCGATACTTGCAGATATATATATATATTGTGTTTATTCTAAACTGGAGCGACATGGAAGAATCGGCAGATGGATATATTTAGCCAATCAGATTGCAGGAAACCATCATGAACGTCAAATTA